CATAATGTGAGCTACTTTTAAGTGCATGTCTAGACAGACTCTTCACGATTGGCACTTAACGTGTGCACAGCGTTTGATTTTGTAAGCACTAGAACAGTTTAATGATTCTGTGAAAAAAAAACGGGTAAGGCCACACCAAAAACCACTTGGTGGGCACCGGTGATGCTTTAACTTCGTTCCCAATGTGCTGACAATGGCGGTCCAGTTGTCGTGGTTTCACGCAGACTCTGGAGGCGGCAGAAATGCGATGCGGTGGATCAGACTGCACCAAATCACCAGTCTATCGCCTGGTCTAGTGCTAATGTGGCTTCCACTGACAACACAAACCCCAAGATCAACTGGGTGGATGAAACTCGTTGATGCGATTCTCGTCTCTCGCAAACACGGTGCACCTGCTTTTAACAACTCAGAGCTTGAACTACACCACTAACTGACAATTGCATCGACGTGTTCAATGTGTAACTCGGAATTAGGCGTGCTCACGTTGGCTTAGTAGCACCAGGACTTGGTCGTGAGACGGGTGTCGGTTGAGCGTTGACAGACCGTTTCGGCTGATGCTTCGATGGAGGTGGCGGCGGCGGCGGTGGAGGAGGAGCGAGCTGAGGCGCTATGCCATGCGCGGGTCCACCTTCCATGACGCCTCCACCAATCAGCTTGCCCAAGGCCACCGACAATCCGGCCTGCTCACCACCGAGGGTGCCCTGCAGTTGGTCCAGAGAGCGAACCGATCCTGCCGTGGGTAAAACAGACGCCGCGTTCTCCGCTTCGACCTGACGTTGTCTGCAAAGATAAACACAAACGTCGCTCCCACAATCTGTCTTTTACACTAGGGGACATCCCACCACAGGCAGTGGCACCACTTGTGGCCAACTCACTTCACCAAGTGGCAAACACAGCCTGCGCATGGATCAATTTTGTCCGACCAACTCACAACCACGGCCACGTTTACCAAGAAAACGCGCCCCTTCTTAGAAATATCAGCGCGTGCAGTGGTGCAACAGAGGCTCGACGGCGTGTAACCAGCTAACACGCCCGGACTAGAGTAACCGTCAAAGTGACGCGCGCAAGGATCACCGCCCAGTAAACATCGCAGCCCATAAAAGTACCGTCTCCGGGTGCTGGGTATTAAAACGCCCATTTAGCTGTGCACTAAACAAAATGGGCTCTGCATCGTTGATGCGGTGCCACCAAATCCGTGTTTTTCCCTAAACAACGAACCGCTTTTTCATACACACGAAGGCTGGGTGGACGTGCGTCTTTGCGCAGAAGGCAGATGTGCCCGGACAGCAACGGTAGTCGAACGTTTTACGAAGAAACGAACGATTGTGTGGCAGACTCAGTGTGGCGTGATCATGAAGTAGTGTGTGGGTGCGTGTGTGTTTATGTGAAATAACACCACTCTTCACACGAAGACACGTGTATTCTGTCGAATGCTGGGATTGTGAAAGAGATCTGACAATCTACATGTCATCTACTCTACACGCTCGTTCGAAACCTTGGCTTTCTTTTCGATCACCTTGCTCGACCTTTGACTGGCCGCGCTGAGAATCTGACCTTGAGTTAGCACCTAGAGGTTATTGTTGTCCCCAACCCTGAAGCTTCCGTGAATGTGGCCAACACTGACTCACAATTGACGTGTCGTGGAAATTGACCCTGATTTGACCCTCAAAACTGCCGTCGCCTTATAATTGACCTTCTGCGTCACCAAGGTCAAATGGCCTAATCGAGTAATCGCGGCAATTAAATTGAATCCCACGTGAGGGCCTTTTTTCAAGAGATATCATTTGGGGCACCAAGCACTCCGAAGTCAGGAAATCGTCGTGGACGGAGTTCAGTGAAGACAGTTACAACGGCAAGAACTCACAAAACTCAGCCACTGAGTAGTGATTAGTTGGAAATCCACAAAGCGGTCACGAAGCTATTCAAGACCCGCAGATTGGGTGGCTTTGCTTTGAACGCCACTTGACGTTGACAATCGATGTTGCATCGATTTACTTGGAATTAGTCGCATTATTACACGCTGCTGCCGATCCGATTCTACGTTCTTTTACTTAGGCATCTAATCTCATAGCTGATCACGAGATCCTAAATTAACGAGTACCGTGAATACTTAAGAGCACTAGGTACCGCCTTCTTGTACCTTATGCAAATTTGAGAGATTAACGTGGCAACAGTCAACTAGGCTCGCGAGATTTGTTCACTGCCAGATTTGCCCACAAACAGTCGTCGACGACGACGACGACGACAAAGACGATGATTCGACCACACAAGGCCTGTTGCATGCCTCTGCCAACGACTTGGAACAAATCAAAATAGTTAGAGGAAACGGACTGGAGTCGGCAGAAATCGAACCATTACAAAAGCGTTTGGTTGGCTGGGATCGGAAGTATATGTAAAATTAGGTGGTCCGTTCACAAAGACGTGAGCTCTAGGCAACAGTTTTTCACCGTTAATACGAATCTGATCACTTCACGTGATGATGTCAGCTTCGTGTCAGGTGACAGGCTTTAAGACACATTCATAGAAATAGGCTGTTTGCACCAGTTCAAACCATGATTCCAACTGTTGGTAAACACACATTCCTTACATTTGTGGAATGTTCTTGAATAATATGTGCTACCGAGGTCCTTCTGCCGACACACACCACGTCGCAGTCCAGACACGAAGCTCTCGCCAGACCGCTGTCATCGTCTAGGGATGAAAGAGGCCTCAAGCGCCCCCACAACCTCCCACGCCAACACGTCATTGCAGTGACGGATCACATCAATCACCTGTTTCAACTGTTTCTTGCACATCAACAAAATCACAAACACACGCACACACATGGCAAATTTTCCTTACAGTTGATTGGCTGAAACTCCAGACATTAATATCGTGAATTGGAGGACATTCAATTCGTTTGAATCTGACGTAGATGGACGAATAATTTTGGCGCATGTGTAGCTATTCAAGAATTTATTTTCAGTATTGACGAGGAATTGTGGTTAATAGCACAATATTTGACGACAAACCATAACATTTACTTTCTTTTTTTTGAATTTCCTCCGGCTACACAAATCAAGACAGAAGGCACAAAAGTATTCGCAGACAGTGCAAAAATTTGAGCAATTAGTTAACCAATTGAGATGAGAAATCTAACATAACAATGGAAGAAGAAGAAGAAGCCATAGAGAAAGTGAACAAAAAGAGGAGGATGCTGACGGCAAAATCATGATAAAAAGGAGTTGATTTATTTGAAACAGTTTTGTTTAAATTAACTAGACACACAGCTGCCAGTTCTCCCAACGCATTTTAAAATCATAATCCCGGTTCTACGCTCGTTTTTTAAATTTCGAAATGGTGACCTGGAAAATAATTGATTTTGTGTCATTGGAGATTTTTGAGTCGATTCGCGCTCTTAGGGAGTTGCATTTTCGAAGAGGGAGAATTGTGCTCCTGGGTCGTGATTATTTTCTGGGAAAGTTCGTGGTACACACAACCTGGACATTTAAGGCTTTCGTATAGTTTACTTGACGAAAATTGTGCCGATTTTGTAGACAAGTAGAAATGTTCCACAAATGGGATTTACGGGAATACTAAAACAAAGACAACGAACCAATGGGAGAGGCGTGCAGAATTACGCGAGGCCGTGGATATAGCCCAACTTGCGTGACTGATACACGGTGTTAGTTTCATTTGAAAAATCGGCTACCGTGAAAACTGGTTTGCTTGTGCTTGGCACGGGCAAACGCTCTTTTCCTGCTACTCTGGTAGTTTTGTCCGAAAAACCGATTCGGCAGGAAATACTTGTTTCGTTCTAGTCATCCCAGACTTGACGACTAATGAGGTAAGTTTATTGAGAAATCGTGTTATTAAACAGATGCGAATCATGTTCGGTAGGCACGCTAAAACGTCGAAGTAAGCACTGCTTTTTAACAGAAAACTCCTTCTTCTGCTTGCCAAGGTGGTGGTAAAAAAGCAACGAGGAACAACTGTAAAAACGCTACCGACATAGCACCCAGTTGGAGGTCGATGTAGGCATGAATGAGGGCGATGGATAAGGTGGGCGCTTTGCAACGCAATTCCACGATTTAAAAACACATCTACACTAAAATTGAGACGCTGGAACACCATTCCATGAGTTGACAACCACGTTGGCTGGGTTTCAGTTCAACAATGAAGCTGAACGTGACGGTGGAAGCGTTTAGGGTGGAAAACAAGCACCTCAACGCGGTGCTCAGGGTTTACGAATGCCTCCTTTCCGTCCCCTCCGTTGTTTTACTGGGCCAACGCGTTCGCCGAGCGGCCACTTTGAATTGTCGACCACACAGAGAGCTGTGACGTCAGGCTTTTAAATTGCCCGCTATCTGTCGCTAACGCAGCAAACATCAGACTCCATAACGACAATTTAATAGACCATTGTAAGTATTAAACGTTTCTGATGTTTCAGCCTACGATGCTAGAGTAAAGCAATGAGCAATTTTGATTGGCTCATTTAGACTTAGTGGGATTTTACCGATGACAGCGTGGATTTGCAACAAGGGAATCGAGGAACCTGTGCCAATCATCGAAGTCTTCTATTTGACGTCTAAGACTACAAATAATTGCGTGATTTACGTTTTGCTACGTGGATCCACAAGCCACTAAGGAAGGGTGTTACTTGTGTATTGTCTTCAAAAGCAGGAACCAGCCCCAAAAATAGCTTTAAAAGAATCACAGGTTCGCCAAATCCTCTCGCTAAGGGGGAGAGGTGTCGTGAATCGTCTTAGTCAACGTCTTAATCCGATCGCTCCGCCTCCGATACAGGGTTTCCCTTTATCGTAGCCTGTCGTCAGCCGCGCGAATCCTCAACCCCCCCCTCATTCACACGGATATTGATCTTAGATTATCCTCACACATAGGTCTCGATGTTAGCGCATCTATGACTCACGCATCCGAGGTATAAATACGTACATGCAAACCCCACACATGACACAACCACACCAGTTTTGGTTGAGCTCTGAAGTAAACGATTGTGTCCCGTCCTCTCCGGTCTTTTGCTTCATCGCGGGTATCAGGCAAGCGTAATCGGGCCAGGGTTAAGTCAGTGGCCCCGGGGTGGTTCAAGATCACATGCTGCGGCCCACAACAAGGGTTAAAATTTTTACAACTCTACACTGAAGGTCCTCGATCTTCTGGACGTTTTCTGTTTGTTTCCTGCGGATCGCAGACGCATCAAAAGTGTTTTATTCCCTTCGTGGAGAAACCGCCAGTCAAGAATAGTTTTATAAGAGTCACAAGAGTACATTATGTGCAATTATGTTCCCAGGAACTCATTCCTCCAAGTTCAAAGATATCAGAAACTACGTTCGACGAAGCCAAATCGCTTCAGGTTACTTCTGAAAGCAGTATTACGGCACATTTAATAATTG